TTTTTAGCTTTTCTCCTCATGTGTTTAAGGCCTGCAGCCATTTTCAGCAGCTGGTGCTGGTGGAGAAGACGAGGCTCACGCAGCAGTACTTTCCTGCTGTGCAGAAGTTTGTGCTCTTTAATTTGGGCCTGTCTCTGCTGCCCGTCGGTGGACAGATGGAGGCCTCGCAGCTCATCGCTCAAACTGCAAGTATTTTAATCCACAGACACGTGGTGAAGTCAATTTGTAGACACTTCCTCGTGAGGGAGTTTTTCCTTTCCACTGTCGCCTTCATGCTTGTTCAAGATGAGAGTTCTTCTGTGGAGTTCAACTCAAAGCTGCTTCTCAGATAAATAATGTTAACTTGTTATTTATATTTATATATAAATATATATGTATTATTTTCAGTGCCCTGAGACGACTTCTGTTGTGACTTGGCTATATTGAATTGAACTGAAAGTCAGGTCCTCTGAACAGATTCTTCTTCGTTGATTCCATTCTTCTTAGTCTCCACGTTGTTTCAGAACCCTTCGTATAACCTGAGCTCCGTTTGAATGTGCACTGAAGCGGATTTTGACACAGTCTTTGTTTCTAGATTCACGGCGCGAGCAAAGAGAACCCGTTTCGATGCAGGACCTCGAGTCGGCTGATGGAGCCGTTGGTCCTGGCGCTGACGCAGCAAATCCCCGGGGTTGGCAGGATCAAAGCTGTGGCTCTTCTGCAGAAATTCTCCAGCATCCAACAACTCTGTAACGCAGATCCTGCTGAGCTGGAACCGATCGTGGGCCAGGCGAGCGCCCAGCAGATCCACAGCTTTTTCCACAGACTGCTGTAGGAACATAAAGACCGTGCTCTAGTTGTCGAACACTGTTGCTGGAACATAAAACCATGGACTGGGTTTCAGCCAGTACTGATCTGCTGCTCATGTTCTCAGGGAGAGACCTTTTACAATGCTGCAGTAGAAGCTGGAAAACTCAAATTTGAAAGTGTACAAACAATATATTACAATCTAGTTCTTTTATTTTTGTATTCAATAAAATAGTAATTGTTTACTTTAGCACTTTCTCACTGTATATACGATTATATCCTTGTTGATACATGAGGTGAAGTTAATTCATCATCAAACTGTGATAAACTGCATGCAGACATCTTTTGGACCAATCCAACAAGGATTTCACAGAATAAGTAATGAAAAATCAGAGGGCTATAAAGTCTGTACAGTTTGTAATGTCTATGTTTTGTAGAAAATTTAAAGACTATACATATACATATATAAATATATATATA